TGACTGTTAACCTATCTCCACTTCTTACTGGACCCCTTTGGCCTTAACGCATTTATCCACTTCCCATTGGATTGTGATACCTGTTTCCCCATTTAACTGCTCTTGTTAGTTTTTCTCCAATTCATTACCAGAATCTGTTACTCATCCACCATTTCTCATCTGATCCTGTCACCCCATTCCTCACTTGATGCTGTTGCTAATTATTCCCCATTCCTTACTAGACTCTTTACCCCATTCCTCACCTGCTTCTATTAATCCCCATCCCTCACCTGACTTTGTTGTAACATGATTATTCGTATGATCCTTTTACCCCAATCATCACTTGATCCTGTTAAGCCTCACCTGAACTTGTCAATCCTCACCTGATCCTGTTAGCTCTTACCTGATCATGTTGATCCTCTCTTTATTTTGTTAAACCTCACCTGATCCTATTAACTCTTACCTGATCCTGTTACCATCACCTGATCCTGTTACCATCACCTGATCCTTTTACCATCACCTGATCCTGTTGACCCCAACCTCATCCTCACCTCATTCTGTTAATCCACATTCCGACAAGGATGACGAACGTCGCCCCGACGATCCCGCACATGACGAGCGCGAACGTCGTGACGTTTCTCCTCCGGGCTCGATCGGCCGGCGAGTCCCACGGGCCGGGCCCCGCCTCCAGCACCGTGCCGTTCACCGTCCGAGCCGGACTCCGGCCGACTCCCGGGGCGGAGTCCGCCGGAGTCCGCCGCTCGGCACCAGAGTCCTCCGCCGAGTCACCCGAGTCCTCCCCCGAGTCACCCGGGTCCTCCGCCGAGTCACCCGGGTCCTCCGCCGAGCTGCTCGTGGCAGCGGCGGAGTCGTCCCCGCCCGCGGCGCCCTCCTTGGTGATCTTCTTGTCGGCGGAGTCGTCCCCGCCCGCGGCGCCCTCCTTGGTGATCTTCTTGTCGGCGATGGCGTCGGGTTCGTTGCTGCTGTTTTCATTATGATCAGCGTTGTCACTGTTGTTGTTTTCGTTGCTCTTGTCATTTCTGTTTTCGCTGCTGTCATCGTTGTCGTTTAAGTTGTTGTTGTTGTTGTTGTTGTTGTTGTTGTTGTTGTTGTTGTTTTTGTTTTTGTTGTTGTTGTTGTTGTTGACGTCTGTTTCGTCGGATGTGCTGTCGTGCGGTTCTGTCGGGACACTCCCTTCCTTTTCTTCAGCGACTGTGTCAGGAGTAGGGATATTTGGTGCTGTTCGCTCGGACGAGTCCACTGCGGGGCTCTCTGGAGGGGAGGCCTCTTGCGGTGGTGAGGACGAGTCCGCAACCGCGGAGTCGTCTCGGCTTGAAGTCAGTGAGGTGACTTTGGGCAAGTCCACTGCAGAATTACCAGGGGAGGTCACTAGAGGGGAGGCAGCTTTTCCTTTTGCTTTTGGTGCGTCTTCTGGCTCGATAGGCGATTCTACGTCATCTTGTTCTACCTCCTCTAGAACTGGTAGGGTGGATGTGGCGTCCACTGATGTCGTGTTGTCATCAGGCTCTGCTGGCTGGGTTTTCTCAGAAGGAGTCTGATTCTCCGGGAGTGTCTCAGGAACATCTGAGGACGCCTCAGAAGATACATTTCGCGGATCTACAGCGTCTTCGTCGGACGATTCGGTTTCTGTCACGGCTGGTGATCGGCTGGTGGAAGCAGTGTTGGTAGCTCCATCAGAAGGAGGCGACTGTTCAGCACTATCGCCGGGGAGAGGGAGCTTCCCACTGTCAGGTGTGTCGGAGGACTGGGCGTCCTCACTCCCAGAGTAGAGGTCCCTCCTGGGCTTCACAGCGAGCGGTGTGTCTGAAATGTAGACCGAGGAGCGTCATTCGCTGTCTGATCTGGTAGGCAGTACGAGTTTCACCTCGCTTCAGATTTAAAATGATTTGAAACCAAACATAATCGCAGTGGCATTCTTTTACCATTTGCCAATGCGCTGATTTTTGGCTTCTAGACAGGCTGCATCAGAGGAGCTTTGGAAATTCACCCATTGGTGAGATACTTGCCGACCTGTGACGTTTTTTCATCTATTCACCGTTCATTTGCATTTCACAAGATCGAGTGACTACAGAAGCAGGGATGGCAACTCGTAACGCAAAAACAAGTACAGTTGAGCACTCGACATCTGCTCCTTCAGCTGGAAACACAGTGACGTCATCAGCTGGTAACACAGTGACGGTATGAAAGACATCACTTGAATTCTCCCGGTTGTAAGAAGCGCATACTTCCATACTTTTGTCTGCGACAAAAGCAAATGGAAAAATGCTGGCAAGTGCATACTTTTTCGTAAAAAAATCCCTCTTCTCCCTAAGTGACGCCGGCATTGCAGCAGCTGCAAATCATGAACATTTACCGTTGTCTTCGTTATGAAAGCAAACAAACATCATTTCCTTGAAAATTGCCTTCTTTGAGTCACACAGCAAATACAATGCAGTGGCATCGTACAGTTTTTAGACGTCGAACAAGCAATTTCGCCACCACGCCACCACAGCGGGCAATGTCGCCATTCTGGATCCACCAATGACCATCAAGGGCGTTGCTGACGTCATCCTACCACCACCACCATCACCACCATCACCATCACCATCACCACTGGTTGCTCACCGTTTGTGACCAGCAGCTCTGCGTAGTGCCCGGTCTCGACGCCCGCAGCCTGCACCAGGGCGTGGTCGGCGGCGTGTCTGTACGGAGCAGACGCCGCCTCAGACGGCTCGGCGGCCTCCAGTGACGTCACCACCACACATGACGTCACTGGAAAGCATTGCAGCGGGGCGGTCAGGCAGTGCAGAAACTCTCAGGTGATTTGCAGTATATGTATCATTTAAAAGGGCATGAGAAGAGAGAAAGTAATGCGTACATCAGCTGATATCGATTAGATAGAACTCTTTGCATGGGACACTGATGGGAAACATTGGGAACAAGTTTGGGCATTCATTCGATAGCTTGTAAAAAGATGATGACTTTAATTGTATCTTAAAGTCAAGGTATGATAGATGAAAGATAAAACGATCGATGTTCGATGATCTAACTAAAACGATTTTTAAAAGCTGAATGATAGGTACCATTTGAAAAGAAATGCTCGCGAACTTTTGCTAAAGCAAAAAACAAAAGGACCGTGTGCAATACAAAATCTGTTATTTCTGTTATTCTTGGACGCTAGGCCCTTGAGTAAATGGAATCGTTTGTTTTGCGATCATGTTGGACACATTTACTTTTGTGGCTTTATGGGGTTAAACACTAAAAAAAGAGAGCGCCTTAATTTTTCATCTCAACTGCAAATTATCCTATTCTGAGTTTGTTTGCGTCCCTATGCTCGTAATGTATGGAATTTTTAGCAAAAAGAACTTCAACAAATTCGTATTTGCCATGGACAAAAAATGACAATTTCCATCCACTATTAACCTCCTTAAAAGCTCATTGGGTTCCGCAACTAAAATTACGTCTAGGATAAATAAACCATGCTCTTCTCCCAGTAAGCTGCCTATCTGTGGGTAGGACAGTAGAATTTAGGAACTATGTGATCGTCTGTATACGATTATTTGATGAACTCTTACATAAGGTATGCTTACCGAATATCAGCGAGAGCGCCCATGGACACAAACTTGCAACGGCACGCATATCTGAAATAAAACTCAGCCATAAGTAGGAATGAAATATACACTGACACATAAAACCAAGGGAGATTTTAACCCGCGCATGACTGGGGTATTTTCCATAACGCGAGTGACGGGGGGGGGCTCTCCAGAGCCCCCCTCCTATCTCCGAAACTACTGGGCCGATCGTAGAATTCAAGCGGCGTCTGATAGCCCTGGAAAAACCGTCGAGCGAAACCTATTTTCATTGACCTCGAGGTCACCGATGACGTCACAGGTCAGGTCAGTAAACATTATCGGCAATTTTGCTAGTTCACAATTAGGCTCTGACCACCGGACCGCCGCTCCGATCAGGCTCATTTCTGGTTTACGCACTCCTTTACGGATGCCTTAGATACCCTGAGGGTACCGAACTTTTACTTCTAATTTTTCAGGTCAAGGCCAGGTCATCCTAGGTCACCAAAATTGTGTATCATGTAGGGTAAGGGCGGGTAAGAGTACGCGGGAGATAAGAGTACGCATCAGCTGTTTCGGTTGCTTAGCAACGCGGGTTTGTCGAGTTCATGAAGTGACATGAAGCCGCCAGTGCGTGCTTGTCACCAACGGAACGTGGGCGTTGAGCGGCGACGCTGTTGAGTTTAAGGCGATGAATATTATTTTCGAGCGTCATGATATTATTATGGTATGGTACAATAATTTTGATACTTGGCAGTTGAGATAAGGTACATTTCCGTGATTGTTGTGGGAAACTTGTGAGGTTATCTGGGGAAATACTGTGCAGTGCAATATTCTGTTTGCGAAGTTTTGCACAACGTTTCGGGGTTGTTTTGTGCGCGAATTGCATGTACGGTAAGAGGACGCACTGTTCAGGAGGGTAAGAGTACGCAGAATTATACATTAAATCGAATATACAGAAAAATAAAATTATTAATCTATCGCTCAATGACGTTTGTTTTGTAGGTATATCATCAATGGAGCACTGTGATACAGATCCGTACCTGAAATTCTTCCAAATACGAGTTCTTCTCCCTTTTGATTGTGCATTTTTTTAAGAAACACACGACATGATTATTTCCTGATTTATAGACTTGAAAGATTTATTTTATGTTTTTCTTTTTGGATACTAGAATTAACTTAAATGCCTTCTGAGTTTGAAGTTAAGCATTTGGACAGTACAAGCTGCATACGTGTGTGTTCATATGCTTGCGTACTCCACCCGCCTGGCGTGCGTACTCTTACACACCCCATATGGTAAGAGTACGCAACTGCAGCGGTTCAGAAAATGTCAGTTTTAGACCACTTCCATTTACGCTGAAGGATCGTTGCCCCATGGGTTGATGGCTAATTCAATGAACTTTAATATTCCCTATTTGCAATTTCTTTCTTTCAAATATTAAATAAATGAGAGCAAGAAATCCACTAAGTGCGTACTCTTATACGACTTCACCCTATCGGTCACGTGACGCATGCTTTATGGTCCATTTTACTCGTAGATTTCGAAAATAGTGTCGTCTGTGTCATTTGAGGTCATTGTCAGCTGAATTTACAGGAGGTCAGGTCACTTTCAGGTCAGAAAAGGTCAAATTTTGAAAATGAAATTTTTCAACAGAAACGGTGCCCATCAGATGCAGTTTGAGCTCAGAAACACGATGGTACCAGTTATATTGCTGTACGATGTCATAAACGTACTGAAAAATGGACTTGGAAAAACATAAAATTGTAAAATTTTGACAATAATGCGAATAACTTGGCTATTTTTGAAGACATTGGGATAAAACTTGCAAAGGTAGTTCATCAGTGTGTGTTCTATCAGATATATTACGGTTTTTGCGAAAAGTTAAAAACTTTTGAAAAAATCAAAAAATATATTTTTTTGTAATTGTATATACATATTTTTCAACATTTTCAAAATTTCGAAAATTCGAGATAGCAGTTTGATAGCTACGTGTATTTGTAGTCCACTCATGCAAAAAAAAAGGATCTAGCTTTAAAACTGAGCTCCTGAGAGCGTTTGCCGTAATTCAGTATTTTGCATTAAAATCGGCCGACATGACGTCACTATGACGTCATTTCCGGCCAAACTATGGTAGCTAGAAAGTGGAATTTTTAACAAAAGGTGTCAAATTGATGCCTCTGAGGGTACCGCAAGTTTCGTGTTGATCCATCAAACGGTTTAGAACATATTGCTGAAAAACGGGAGGGGGGGGCTCTGTAGGCCCCCCTAGTCATGCGCGGGTTAACTACGTGAGCTATCGTAAACAAACCTGGTATGACTGCTCTCTACGGCAAGGGCATTAATGGGTAAATGGCAGTGCATTGTCACTGACTATCAAGTCTTGACGATCGGCATTATCTAGTTATCAACACGACCGTAGTTCTACGATACAGGCCTACGATACATGGGTTACTTAGCAATCAACACAGCTGCAGCTTCACGATATATATGTTACAGGCAATGTGTGGAATCAGGCATTCTATAGAATGCCTAGGCATTCTATAGAATGCCTGACCGACCAGGCATTCTATAGAATCCCTAGGTATTCTATAGAATGCCTGGCTTAATTAAGGTCCCAGGCATTCTATAGAATGCCTAAGTATTTTGATTGTCCGAAACACACTTCGAAAATTAGGGGTCAGTGGCAGTAATGCTATTTGTTTACCTAATTTTCATTGTTGGCCTAGGCCGGTCGTCACCATACACCATTTCAGGGCAATGAGCTGAGAGGAAGCGAGGGAGGTATTGGGCTATGCCGACCACCAAATGGTGCGCCGCAAGCAGCAGCTGATCCAATTCCGTTGGCACGGGAGAGCCACGGTGCAAGGCACGCGGGAGAGTCACAGGCCAGCCAGTCGCTTAAACGGTTACCCTCGGAGGATTATGCTGCTACAGATACGAAGCTGCATTAGAAGAGTGTTGGCTGGGAGGGTGGACCGTAGGCTTGAATCGAAAGTGATTGGGAATGACGATGGCTTTGTTCTGATGTTTGAAATGAAGGTGAAAAATACACCAAAGGTCACATTTTATGTCGTCATAAGCACTTCGTGTAACGACTCTCAATATGCATACATGGACAGCTCAACCTACACCGTAATGTCAGGGAATAACCTGAATAAATGGTTCCTTATTCCACGTCTGGGCGGTGGCCCGGCCGTAACAAGAGCCGGATTAGGTGTTGTTCGATTTCCCCTTCCAGCTTGACTTCTGGGCCATGCGGTATTCGAAAGGTCGTCAAAGACTCAAAATTATGAAATTTTACTTCAGTTCTTCTTTGGCAATGTTCGAAAGGGTGCCATTTCTAAAACAAATAGCTAAGCCATTTTTAGGTCAGCCCAATTTTTGTCCATTTTTGGCTCGTAGCCGTTTTCTCCAGTTTGACCTTAGATCAATTCCTTAGAAGGCAAACACCTCCAAAAATGGACGATATGTCAATTTTTTCTGTGTATTTTTTTTTTTTTTACCAAAGGCGTTTCCGATATTGACATTACCACCATCGTCTTTCTAGCGTTAAGATAAATACTCTGTACTCTCAGAATGAAATCCTGATACAATTTGACCTAATAAGGTCAGATTGAATACCTGACCGGAAAATTTGACTGAATGAGCATTTGACTGAATGAACATAAATAGCTGAACGCAAGGTAGCCTGGCAGAAAATAATAATGTTACATGTCGGTCTGTGCTCATAATCTTATACAACATACACTTATATGTTGGAAAGATTCGTGTATTTCGTAGGCATTCTATATAATGCCTGAAAATCAGGCATTCTTTAGAATGCCTAGGGATTCTATAGAATCCCTGGTGGGTCAGGCATTCTATAGAATACCTAGGAATTCTATAGAATGCCTGGTCGGTCAGGCATTCTATAGAATGCCTGATTCCACACATTGCCTGTAACATATATAAGTCACTGCACCAGACCCATTTTATATAAAAGAATAGGTGTAATAATATAATGTTATATAAATATAATATAAATATAGATATAAATATAAAATTAAAATATAAATGGGACACCGAGAGTAAAATGAAATTTCATTTTACTCTAGGTGTCACTGAACACACAGACCCTGCTAAGTCTACACAAAACCGCTGAACACACAGACCCTGCTAAGTCTACAAAAACCGGTGTCACTGAACACACAGACCCTGCTAAGTCTACACAAAACCAGTGTCACTGGACACACAGACCCTGCTAAGTCTAACAAAACCGGTGTCACTGAACACACAGACCCTGCTAAGTCTACAAAAACCGGTGTCGCTGAACACAGAGACCCTGCTAAGTCTACACAAACCCGGTGTCACTGAACACACAGACCCTGCTAAGTCTACACAAAACCGGTATCACTGAACACGACCCTGCTAAGTCTACACAAAACCGGTGTCACTGGACACACAGACCCTGCTAAGTCTACACAAAACCGGTGTCACTGAACACACAGACCCTGCTAACTCTACACAAACCCGGTGTCACTGAACACACAGACCCTGCTAAGTCTACACAAAACCGGTATCACTGAACACGACCCTGCTAAGTCTACACAAAACCGCTGAACACACAGACCCTGCTAAGTCTACACTAAACCGGTGTCACTGAACACACAGACCCTGCTAAGTCTACACAAAACCGCTGAACACACAGACCCTGCTAAGTCTACACAAAACCGGTGTCACTGAACACACAGACCCTGCTAAGTTTACACAAAAACAGCTTTAAAACACAAAGAAACCACTTTTTCAGCTAGCCATAAGCACTCAGCATGAAACTGCAGCTCACCTGGAATATTGCCGGCTCGGCAGAGGATGACTATCGCAGCAGGTTTCAGTTCAAACGTCCGTCCGTCCGCCCGCCCGTCCGTCCGTCCGTCCGTCCGTCCGTCCGTCCGTCCTTGATCTGTTGATCTGGTTGACCGTTTGCTCTTTGGTACGTTGATCCGTCCGTCCTCGAGTCCTTCCTTTGGTCCGTTGGTCCGCCGATAAGTCGGTTCACCCTTTGTTGGTCGAACTGTCCACCGATGAACCGATCCTCTGGTCCCCTGGTGGTCTTCTGGTCTTCTGGTCCAGCTGTCCTCTGGTCACCCAGTCCTCTGGTTCCAAGATCCACTGATCCTCCGATCCTCTTGTGGTCACTTTATCCACTGGTCCTCTGGTCTACCAGTCCTCCAGTCCTCCAGTCCTCTGACCTTCTGGTCCCTGTTTCCCTGGTCCTCACCGATGCCGTTGTCGTTCCCAGTCCGGGTGGACGGGTCCTGACAGACACCGACAGCGCTGCTGATAGCGCTGATATCAGCACACCGCTGATAGCGCTGATATCAGCACACCGCTGATAGCATGCGCCAGTGCTGATAGCGCTCCGACAGTGCGCCAACGGTCTTATGACGTCACAACGCGACACTGGTCTTATGGCGTCACAGCGCGACACTGGTCGTATGCCGTCACAACGCGACTGCTCTCATGACTTAACCAACGTGCCACATGCTAGTTCTGAGACGTCACAACGTGCCATGAACTGGTTCTATGACGTCACAACGTGCCATGAACTGGTTCTGAGACGTCACAACGTGCCATATACTGTGTCTATGACGTCACAACGTGCCATTGACTGGTTCTATGACGTCACTACGTGCCATGAACTGGTTTTGAGACGTCACAACGTGCCATTAACTGGTTCTATGACGTCACAACGTGCCATGAACTGGTTCTGAGACGTCACAACGTGCCATATACTGTGTCTTTGACGTCACAACGTGCCATTAACTGGTTCTATGACGTCACTACGTGCCATGAACTGGTTCTGAGACGTCACAACGTGCCATGAACTGGTTCTGAGACGTCACTACGTGCCATTAACCCATATATGCATAGACGTACATAAATGTACGTCAATTTGAGTTGACCAATGTGTGCCATCTTTATAGAAATAGAGCTAATGAGCCATCAAACGCGGTCGTTCTAAATCATTTACATTGTTAGCCGTCAGGTGAACACCAAAAAACACGGTTCCAATGCATTCAGTGTTGAGTTTGAGACATTCGGTTTGTTGATGTCGCAACGGGAAGATTTTCACCCGTTCAGACGCTCGACCCAGGGTGAGCCAAGTGTTCTTAATTATAGTTAAGTGCTTTTCCCGGACTAGCTTTCGTTGCCAGCAATCTGCTCAAGCATGACCCTAACTTCATGAGTGGTGTCATTATAATGCTAATTTTGCTTACCAAGCGAATCCAAAAATAGTACGTTTCACAAAAACGCACGTACAATAATGTACGTCTATGCATATCCGTTACATTTTGTTTCCCAAACATCAAACACGTTTATGCTTTGGTTTGATGGCAAATGTGAGCCTCAACGATGTTCTGGATCAGGGCTGCGGGAGTCGATGGATTTTCAGTGACTCCGACTCCGACTCCGACTCCGACTCCGGGTAGAACTATCGACTCCGACCGACTCCAACTCCGACTCCCGACTCAGCAGCCCTGCCAGGTCAGCGGAGTCGATGGGTTTGTCGGTGATTCTGACTCCGACTCCGTCTCCGGTTTCCAAAATCGACTCCGACTCCGACTCCGGTCAGAATTGTCGACTCCGACCGACTTCGACTCCAACTCCGACTCCGCAACCCTGTTCTGGATGGCATCGAGGAGCGAAGTCGAGTCGCCGATGTCACGGTCGTCGTCCTAGAGCCGCCGGAAGTTCGCGTCGACACAAACGAAGACTCTAGCGACGAAGAGAATGCTGACCCAGCCCGCCTGACGTAACTGGTCTGAGCCGTAACTGACGTAACTGAGCCGTAAAGACGTAACTGGGCCCGTAACTGGTCGCACCCACCCGCTCAACCGGTTCGGGATGATTATGGATGTATGTCAATTCCAAAGCAGCACCAAGCTTGACCCTGATGATCGGTTTTGCAGCAGAGATCCAGAAGCGCCAGTTCCATGGCACGGGTACCATGTGAGGGAATCGCCTTCTGAAGGCGAACAAGTTCTCCGACATCAACGCCTTCAAGAAGAAGTCCAATCAGACCATCGAAGCATTTACGACTGCCAACAACGGCTGCAGTGCGGCTGTTATCCGCTGGATGGACGTGGTCGAGGATCACGAGTTCCAAGAGGCCATCATGCCGTCACTGGGGAAGGAAGAGCCGGCCGACGCCCCTGGACAGACGCACCTCTCCGAGTTCTAAGTCGCGGGCGACCAGTCGCTCTGCTCCGTTGACCATGCCGGCGACTTTACGTCCGGCTGATGGCCGTCTTTAGTCATTACAGCGGGGCCACGCGCTCGGGGCAGTGTCTGACGTGTACAGTGTGGGACGGGACAGGTGGTGCCATTACGACGACCGACGCGTCAGCTGCGTGGACGAGGCAGACGTCCTGGGCGAAGGCCCCCAGCGGAACGGCTACATCTTCTGTCTCCTCAAGAAGCTCTGCAGTCAGGTAGTCAGCATGGAGCGCGCCGGGCGCCGGACTGTGACTGCCACAGGGGAGCACAGGGTCACCTCGTCGGTGGCCAGCAGCAGAACGCCTCCTGATCGCCATTGACAACGTGCTCTTTTTATAGATCTACTATGTTGACTATTATGTACATAAGACAAGTTTTCAATAGACGGTAAAAGTTGACATAATTGAGTTGTGTTTTGCAAATTTCCTTATTTTCATCATACATGATCTACATCTATTTCCTAATTCAACGTATGAATTATAACTACCATTTCCAAGGGTCTCTAATGCAACACAACATATCATACATCATATTTGACCATACAACACAAGTTATTCCCCTCGCCCAGGTTAACGATGACATGACGTCACACTACCCCCTCCACAACCCCATCCCCACCCCAACCCATCCCTCATACATCGCTTCTGAAGTACGAAAGACGTTAGCATTGTATTAGGGATGTCGGATGTATTATTTTAGGACGGCGGCGGCAGACGTCACAATTGTCTTGTTGACACCTGGCATAGACGTACATTTTTGTACGTCACTTTGAACGAGCATATCAGGCAAGCACTAAATGTAACAACAAAACAGTTGATGTCAGCAGCTTAGTAACATGTTGTTTAACAATGCTAGACAGTTTCATACAAATACTCAACAAAAAATTAATTCATGCATATATGGGTTAACTGGTTTTATGACGTCACAACGCGCCATGAACTGGTTCTATGACGTCACAACGTGCCATATACTGTTTCTATCGCCACAGCGCGTCGCTGAGACATGGTTTAACCCGCGCACCGACGGGGGGACGGTTATCCGCCCCCCCCCCCCCCTGAGTTTTTTCGTGAATAGCGGGAAAACCGCAGCGCGTAACGCCGCGAAATTTGGTATGACTATTCTGTCATCAATTTTACACATGGTGTGCAAGTTTGAACCTCCTAACTTTTAAGATCAGGTCACAGGTCACTTTGAATGACCCAACCTGAAGTCACTTTTTTTGCAAATTTGTCACCGTGTCAGAGCTACAGTAGATGACGGTCAACATTTTACCTTTGGTGACCTCTTGGTGAACTGACCTTTGACCTGACCAAAAAAAATGGCCGAAGTGTTTTCGTCCTAATTTTGGACGTTCTTTCGATTGCCGCTTACTGCGTGTCGCTACGTGGCTCAGGAGCCGAGTTAGAAGGTGGGTGTTCAGACCCCCCCCCCCCCCGGCCCGGCGCGGAATCTCAGAGCACCGGCCCAGCGCGGGTTTATGGGTTAAGATAGATGAAAACTGCATACTTAACCCGCGCCGGGCAGGTGCTCGGCGCCAACCGTACTGGGCCGGGGGATATCTGAACCCCCCCCCCCCCCCTTCTAACTCGGCTCCTGGGCCACGTAGCATTACGCGGTAGGCGGCGTTCGAAAGAGCGTCAAAAATAATGACGGTAATACTTCAGTCATTTTTAGGTCAGCTCAAAGGTCAGGTCACCAGAGGTCATCAAATGTCAACTTTTGCCCATTTAAACTACTTGGGGCATTCCACGATAGATCGTACCACTTTTTTTCCAATTTGACACCCTCATCTCTCAGAATCTGACGAGAATTGGTCTCAGGGGTAATCAGGGGCTCTGAATCCACCTGTAACAATTTCAGGCTTATCAGATAAGTATTTTTTGAGTTATGGTGTATAACATTTTTTTGATCTTGCTTTGCAGCGCTAAGTTTGGCGGGCTGTAACTCCAAGACGGATTATTCAAATGCCAAATGTTATATAACATTGAACTTGCAATGAAACAGAGATTAATGTGTAATTTTGAAAGTTCGAAAAATACGCTATTTTTGATATATGACATATCGAGTTTTCTTTCATTTGTATTTTTTTGGACTTTGGGACCAAATTTTTTTGAATTTTGATTTCTTTAAAAAAATATGTGGCTCATTGTTAAGAAGTATGCAAAAAATTAGGAAGGTGTTCTTTCTATAAATGTATTTATTTTACGTCACGATAACGGTTTCGAATAGTGATTTCGGGAGGGGAGCTTATAAATGGCGTGGTAAAGCTGCCTAGTGACATCACGGGTTACTGAAATTTCAATTTAAGTCTGAGTCATCTGAAAAAAAGTGAAAAGAGGGTTCATCCAACCATCTTTCTTATAAGCGCGAGGGTGAAAAAGGCTGTTTGGTTCTGACTTAGATTTGGACGCCAATGACCATAGCTGTCCGAGATGAAAGTTACAGGACGCATACATGGTGTCCTCCAGAGGTCTCACAACTTGTATATCTGGGAATTTTTCAAGGTTACATGAGGTCAGGTCGGTCACGTGACATCACTGTTATAAATCAATGGGAAAATATAAAAACTGTTATTTTGGCGCCGAGAATGATCTAAAACTATCCCAGGTACATGGTATCGTGATTTCATGCACTCCTTGCAAAGTCCAATGCTTTACTTTTGCATTGTTAACTGACGTCACTAGGGTCGTACGAGTTTTTCGTCAATAACTCCCGATCAAATGGAGCTAGAGAGTCGGGAAAACCACCAATGGACTCGGGAAGACCTTCCGAATCGAATGATATGCCATATGATACCCTTTGCCCAGCTTTGTGACCTGAGGGGCTCTAACCTGACCTTGACCCGAGGTCAACTACTTAAGTTGACCTCACCATAGCAAAAAGTATACCATTCGATGCACCTGAGCTAGGCGAACACAATGATGCCAAAATCGCGGCTCTGCGGCCATTTTTTGCGAAGTTATTTACTAAAAACCGAACCCGTAACTTCAGTCACGTGACATGACCTCAGACGCTACCGGTTGACCTGAGACCTTAAAATCGGGTACCAATCGCTGTGACTTGTAACGGCACACACGCTCGTTTTTTTCCGCGAGGCTCTAGCTCTATTAGAAGCGAAACGGCGTGCTGGGGTCGTATCAACCCCTCCGAAA